CATCTATTGGATTTCTGGCAGTTATTCCATTATTAAATGAGCTATACTTCTGTAAAGTATTTCAGGGAGGAATACCAGTCAGGCCAAGAACACCAAGAAAAAAATAGGAACAATATTCTACAGCTATTGTTCAGTTAGCTTCCTGCAATAGTAATTTCAGCCAGGGCACCAGACCCCCAGGCTGAAGGTTTCCTTCCCAGCATTCTTGTTCAGCAGCCTACTGTGAAAAATCAAAGGGAAATGGGTTACTAAGTAAAGAAAGAACCAGAATAAAGCAAGGTTTGGTATACTGCACTCTTTTGAACTCCAAGACATTGGAATAACATTTCCTATTATAAAATGATACAAAAGATCATATCCAGACCTTTAGGTGGCTTTAGTGAAGCTTAATTTTTAGTAGTCTGTATAGTATTCTAAAAAACAGGAGGATTGCTGAATTTTTAATTTTATTAATCTTAGCAATATATATGGAACAACTTCCCGCTGTTCATTTTGATCAGATAGGAAGCAAGCTGTCATCTTTAATATAATTTTGTTGTAAGTAATTAATATCCGATAGAGCAGATTTTCCAAAATATTTTCTATAATAGTTACATTTTTTCTTTTTCTGAAATAAAAATGAATAATATAGTTCTAAAACTCCAAATCCTTGTTACAAGCTAAGGTTTAAGCTTGAAAACTCTTTAACTTAAATATTATTTGTATAAGAGAATGCTACAAAAATGTGACAAAGCAGCAAAGAGCCACTTATCAGCATAAAATATAGACCAAATAATGGAAATATTTTAATTATTTTAAAGTAAATTACCGATCATTTATATGTTAATCTTAATTAGTAAACTTTAAAATGCTGATCAGATTGTATTTTACAAATTGATCATTTAAATCAAATTTTCCAAGCCTAATACTATCCAGATATGTTGAACTATAACTCCCGCTATTTCCCAGCCAACAGAATGAAAGCACTAGGTTAAGATGCCTGGCTTAAAGTTTTCTCAATCTTTTAAAATTTCACCTAAGCAGATATTCCTGATTTTTAGTTTTTTATAGGGATTGTATTTACAACAGATGCTTTGCTTTGCTTTACTCCATTTGTTTTTTGTCTTCCTCCTGTCTTGTCTTGCATCTATCCATTAGCTAGCTCATTTGAAAAAGAGGAACCTACTACAAAATGTTCCATTATGAAGGGATATTATGTCCCACATTCCAGTGAGCAAATATCTTTTGCGGGATGATGCATTTAAATTTCCTCTTCTCTCCTGTCTGCTACTGTTCAGGGATGATGCCATTTTAATTACTTAGTAAATGAGGTTTTTTACTACCACTAGGATGGAGGCCAAGTTTTCTAACCATATCTTTTATAAACAGTAAAATAATGTTGCAGTAGTATTTAACAATTTAAGATAATTGTATTCACTTCTTTAGCCCAAAGATCTTTTTTGTTTAAAAAGTTTCTATTTCTTAAAATTTGGGATTTATTTTAAATGAAAGCTTTACTTACTAATGAAAAGAATGAAATCTAAGACAAGACTGACCCCTTTCATTTATTTTAATAGATTCAGTAGATTTTGGTACCTTCAATTAATGTTTAATGATATTCTTTCATAATAGCATATAGGCAGCTGTTTTTCCCATTAACAGTTGATATTCTTCATTAGTTAATGAATACATCTTTATGTCCATAAAACATCGCATCAAGTGATATGTGTTTAAGCCTATTTATTTCTTTGAATATTATGTATATAGAGGAACCTGTGTTACCAATCTCTGATTTAGATAAGTGGGCATAATATGTGACACTTAAAGAATAATTATATTCTAGCCATAGTAATGGCCTTCACCTCTTTAATGAATGAAATATTATGTTCCACTGATAGGAACCTTATGTTCCATTGATAGGGGAACTATCTTTTGTACCTAATTTTTCTTAAAAATAAGATTACAAATTCTGGAATGGTATTATCCAAGTTGTAAACACAATTTATGCTGGAAAAAATAACTGAGATGCTTAACTGAGAATGAGCAAAGGACAAACTTTGAAAAAGAACATGCCCCAGAAGAAAAGGAAAGTATGCAGTGCTCATTTTGTTACTGTTGTAATCCAAACTATTTAACTCCCTCCTCCATTTGATATATGAGAGCACTTAGCCAAAAGAATGATGAAATCCTTTGATTCAAAATGTTATCCCATTTAAATTCAAGGCAAAGAACACTACTTCCGACAATTGGGAGTTTTCCTTTTAAGTACCTGGCATAACTGATTCTTTCAAGAAATGAGGAAACTGAAAATATAGAAGTCAAGCATGTTTGCTATATGTTGGCATTCAATGTATGCAACACGGGTATCTCTGCAGACCACATGAACAGCAAGGATGAACTCAAGAAGATTTAATGACGAGCCTATTTTGGGCTCTCTGTTCTACACAGTGTCTTATGTATAATGGGTAACTCATGGATTTTGATTTTTGAATTATATCTGGGGCAACTCCAATATGGAGTTTTTTACATTTGCAGTCTAAAACTACCTTCTCCAAGCCTTCAGAAATATGACATTTCAGCCCTTAGAATTCTTAGCCAGCATGGGCAATAGCTATAGATAGGAATTTGGGGAGATGAAACCCAACAGAGCTAGATTGATCCAGGCTGAGGAAGAGTAGCTTCCCCCCCACCCCCCCAGTGTACTTTCCTCTTCTGACCAACATTATCAAAGCAACAGCTCAAAAACAAAACAATGACCCTGGACTCTATTTCCTTCCTAGATAGCCAGGAAGAAAAAGAAATTTGTTTTATAATGGCCCTTGGCTCATATACGGTAGCTTAAAATATTATCTTCACTAACTTGGAGTAGCTCACCAAGTCTTTAAACAAGGGGCTTTTTCCATTAAAGAGTCAGTGTCTGATGAATTTCCTAGGATCTTCTATACAAAAGTAAGGGCTCTTACCTTTAAGGAATGACTCCTGGGAAAAGCAAGCACGCAACTAGATTTTTATTACACATGGACAGTTGTGAAAAGATGTTACTTATAACAATACTGTTATTTGCAAACAATCTGACTTATTAAGGTGTACTTTGCTGTTGCAGGTATTTTCATATAATCATAGAGCTGGAAGGAGTTATCCACACCATCAAGTCCAATGTCTATTCAGAGCAAGAATTCAAATTAAATTATCCTGAACAGATTGCGATTAGCTTTGTTAAATATATTCAGTGAATGGAACCTACTATCTCTCCCTGTAACTGGTCCCCCTGTTTAAATATTTTTTTCACCTTAAATCCTTTATATATAAGGCAGTTAGGCTAGATGTTGTGGCACAGAGCACTGAGGCCATATTGAATGATATAGTTTGAGACAAGCAAATAAATAAATTATAAATATATAAATATGACAAATACACATTTAAAACCATCATTCAAATGGAATGTGGGCATTAGATTTCAAAACTGAATTGTTAAAATAAAAATGGGCATACTACTGTACTCCTTCTATGAAAATACGTATATATTTCACTTCACGGAACTTTGTTGAACTGAAAACTGTTTTTTCCCTATTTCACACTCCAGATAGTGAACAAGGGAAGGAATGAAAAAACCTCTCACACCCTAACCCTAACCCTAACCCTCTCACACAGGCAGTCATATCTTTTGACCAAACCAGAGCTATAACAACCAATAGGTATTAAAATAGTGCAAGATAGACAGAATGGCTATTGTTGTCTTATTGTATTGTACTGTTGCATTCTTGTATAATGTATTATTGTATAGTGATTTGAATTACTATAACTGCTCATAAATATAATTATGCAGAATAATTCATCAAACTGAAGTATCCTTATTCCTTCACTAAACTGTTATGATATATAATCCCCAGTGTTTTATTTAGGATTAGAAGTTCTGCAGGCCCAAAATCTTTTTTGAATTTTGAATTCAAAATTTCCAGATTTAGTTTTAAATATTTAGTCCTTTTCTGTGTGATAAAATAATGAATTAATTTTCTTACCTTAACTTAGTTAATATGGTTATTTTATTTGTCACATTTATGTCCCTCCCTTTCTTCCAAAGGGACTATGTAGACAGCAATTAACTGACAGTAATTCAGTTTTACATTTCACAAGTTCCTTAGGGAAACAAGAAGAGCTGTAGTTTTAAATGAGTCTTAAACCCTAGCCTTAAGATTTCCCAATTTGAACATCAGACAATAATTAAAGTATCAAATTAATCCTTTCCCTCTACTGTTTTTTGTTGATAAGCCATTCACATTATGGTGGATTCCTAGCTATTTACACTATCCCCATGAGGCTTTGCTATAACTAGCATAGAGAAGATGGTATTTAACCAAAAACTAGTAAGGAACAAATCATTAGACACCTTTATTCTTAATTCCTCAGCTTGTTTGATGAAAGGAAGAAAAACATAGATTCAAATATATATTTAAAATGAGATCTAAATTGATCTGAATAGGAATATTTGTCAAAATCTAACCAAATTTACCCAAATTAATGGCTAAATGGAGATTGGTATTCAAAGCAAAATTCACATGCTACACATACATCAAATTTATCTTATATGACTCCTGCTTGTCTTTTCTTTAAAGACAGAAGGTAATTGTGGCTCCTGTAGGTGCTATTGAACATTTCCAACACTACGGGATGATGGGTGTTGCAATATAAAGCATGATCTCCACAATTTGTTGTATGAGCCCCATGAATTACCACAACATAAAGTTTTGAACTTGACTATAGTTTGTATTTTTCCATAATATATGTCTTACTGTCAGAGGGAAGACAGTATTTTTGAATACCAGTATTAATATACTCAGCAGCTAATAGGGGCAATTCCAAAATAGCACTGGCACTACATTGGTGAGCAACTGGCTTTATTTATTTACAGCTTAGTTGATTTTAGATGCATTGGGTTACAACACCCAAATTCCAAGCCAATATGACCCAGTCATCAGATAATACAATGGAATTGACCAGGATTGAAACATTTTTTTTCTTACCTGAAGACAACAGCTTGTGCGTCCGTAAGAAACTGATTGCAAGCCTCATAATAGATGCTTTGTCCAGATGTGAGCTAATGTTGTGAGGCAATGGTAGCTCATGGGCCAACTCATAGAATACTTCAGTTTCTTTGCTTCTTCTACATCTTGCTGCATCCCTTGATTTCTCTTTCCTTCTTTCAGAACTGCTCCTGAGACAATAAAGGAAAAAAGAAATTTCAACCCAAGAAGCAGGTTATATTCATATTTACATACAGGTAGTCCTTAAATTACAACCACAATTGAATCCAGAATTTTGGTCATTAAGTCACTGCTGTTAAAAGTCAAGTCAACCCATGACTTGGTTCAACTTAACACTCATTTTTACATATTATTATGTATATTATTGAGTCACATGGTTATTAAACAAATAGCGCATACTGCATTGGTCCACATATAAGATGACAATAGCATAAAACTCTGTGAGAAGAGCCTCCCTTTTAAGGACTAGGTGTAACTCATGAATCTGTGCAAATGCCTTCCTCATCACAGCTCCCACTCACTCTTGAAACACAGGTTAACAGTCCAGATCTTGTACACCAGTTCTACCTGGGGAATTGCCATCCTGCATAGAACTAGAAATGAAAGTTCCTTAATCTGAAAAGTTCACATACTTATAACCACTTGTTCTTACAAGGGCTGAGCTTATGTTTGTTTTTGACTATCCAAACCCAAATGGCTCCTAAGTGCAGGAACAAAACTTTGGCAGCATCACTCAGTTGGGTGCGGGTTGAAATAAACAGCTGAATATCTACCCTGAGAACTGATAATACTAGGAACCTTAAGGGGAGTCTTCTGAACAAAACATTCTATGTACTACGTCATCAAGTTATACAGCTCTCAATGCAACCAAGTAAGTGAAGCATTGGTACATTAACATTCTGTCTTTAGTCACAAATAAAAGTATTTTTTTAAAAAAATCTCTTCTTTTCAATGATTCAAAGAAGGCTTAAGCTATGAATGTGTGTCTGAACTTACAAACATGATAGATAACAACACAAGGAAAACATTGGCTGCTAAGGAGATACTTTAAGCAATAATGTTTTGCAGTTAAACCGGTTCTTATCTCAACCTTTTTTTTTTGCTTAATTAGAAAAGCCAAATATCATCACTGCAAATCACTCTGTTTATCATCATCATCATCATTATTATTATTATTATTATTATTATTATTATTATTATTATTATTATTATTATTATTATTATTATTGTTTAAATCTTTCACTAGAGTACAAATCCAGGCCAGCTTACAGCAGTCATTCATATCTTTTCTTGCTCAAAAAGGGCCTCATAACTATATTATAATTAAAATGCTTCTAGGAAATTAAAACTTTGCAAACAGTGAAAAGATTTAATTGGCCATGGGAACCAGAAATAGCAGTATTGTGCACTAGTATTCACAAATCTTGCTGCAATAGTTTCTGAACATTTGTCTGTAGTTCCATGCACTCCTGCAACAGAAATTGATAAGACCTCTAAAATATGTATCAATAAACAGTTTTTTAGGATTTCAAATAGCTATTGCAATAGCACTTAGACTTACATACTGCTTCACAGTGTGTTACAGCCATCTCTAAGTGGCTTGCAGAGTCAGCATATTGCCCTCAACACTCTGGGTCCTCATTTTATCAACCTTGGAAGGATGGAAGACAGAGGTGGTATTCAATAGGTTCTGACCAGTTCTGGAGATCCGGTAGCAGAAATTTTGAGTAGTTCATAGAACCGGCAAATACTACCCCTGACTGGAGATTTTACAGTATCCTTCCCCTGCCACACCCACCAAGCCATGGCCACATAACCGGTAGTAAAATATTTTGAATCCCACCACTGATGGAAGGCTGAGTCAATCCTGAGCTGGTGAGTATTGAACTGCTGGCAGCCAGCAGAATTAGCCTGCAATACTGTATTCTAACCATTGCACCACCATGGACATGTGGCTAATAGTCCATGAGATGCACCTACTGTAGGTGTCTGTGTAGAGTATTATAAACTCATAAGTACAGTGATAGGCTAGAACCTGCCATGCTGACCCAGGAAGGAAATCATATGGCTCAGCGGAGACACACCTAAAACTCTCTTTAAATTTGAGCATTCAAAAAAAAGCTAAAGTACCAGAAATGCAACTTTTGTCATCTCAAACAATACAAATGTTTCCCAGTGCAAAGGTATATTTTGAAAGCTCCACTTTTCCAAGTTAAATTAGTTATGCTTGAGATGAATACAATTTTTATATATAAAACTTACCCATACTGGTATATAATTGGAAGCCACCAAGTTTCTTAAGAATTTTAATTACATAAACACACAGAGCATATACATTTGTTTACAACTGTTAGGCTACTGGAAACAGAAGCCCAAATGTATTCTTATGTGTTGCATAAGGCATAAGAAATATAAGAAATTTCTAGGATGGATAAACATTTTCTATTTCTAAATAACAGAAATAATGATCTTCAAATAAACAGATTGTATTTAAACTATGATACCTTAGCTTCATATGAATAATCCATTTGCATATGGTACTTTTCCTTCCTCTTACAAGATGGAAAATTTCATTTAAAACCTTCTTAACTATAATTTCCCATTCAAATTAGGTTATACAATCATGCTTTGAAACTGTTTAATATTCTGTCTTATAGGAAATTTGTAAATAAAGCTTTCCCATTAGGATGAAATAGGAAAATATTTTAAACTTCATGATTTACCTGATCCCTTCACAAAGAGAGTATGACGTGACTCCTTGAACCTTCAGAAGACTCATTCATATAGTAGCTTGTGTTGGACAACACAAAAATCAGATTACAGGTAGTCCTTGAGTTATGACCACAGTTGAGCCCAAAATTTATATTGCTAAGTGAAACATTTAAATGAATTTGTGCCATTTTACAACTTTTCTTGCCACAGTTGTTAAGTGAATCATTGAATTTGTTAAGTTAGTAACATGGTTGTTAAGTGAATCTGGATTTCCCATTGATTTTGCTTGTCAGAAGGTCTCAAAAACTGATCATCTGACCCTAGGCATTGCAACCATCATTAATGTGAACCAGTTGCCAAGCATCTGAATTTTGATGGGGATGCTGCAATGGTTGTAAGTGTGAAAAACAGTCATAAGTCACTTTTTTCAGAGCTGTTGTAACTGTGAACAGTCAGTAAATGAACTGTTGTAAGTTGAAGATTCCCTGTATTTCTTAACTTTATCTACTAATCCTTCTTGTGATACAAATCTGTAAAGCACAAAAACACATGCTCTAAAATGGAGATGAGCAACCTTTAAAAGTCTCCCAAACTTTTATGCGGATGTGGGATTTTTTCCCCCTTGATATTTTGACATTGACAGAAGGGACAGGGCCAACATTTGGCCTTTTCCAGGTTTTTATTGATAGCATTTAAAAAAAACATGAAAAATTGTATCGCTACAATGTGAGCATTTTGTCAATCAGTTTTAGCACTACTTTTTGAGATGACGGAACTATAAATTGTGTATAGTGAAAATTGGATGTAACTTGTGAGATCTAAGTTTTCCATTTCTATCTACATATGCCTTTCCTAAGTATCAGTTTTTCAGAGTTATTTTACTGAAAGGAACCTTTTTTTAACAGTTTATACATTTTCTCTTTACATACGTAAGTGCTTTGTGAATGGCGTATTGTCTGGATCAATTTGCTTAAATAATAGTACCTTTCCAGTTCCTAATTTCCAACTCTATTATCTAACCACTAGTAAAACAAGTCCCATGTTTGAAAATATCTTATTTTTCTTTTATTTTTAATGTCAATCTCTCCATTTCTGCACAGTCTAGTATTTTTCAAATTACATCTTCTTCTGTAGATGTTTCTTTATTTTTCCAGTGCTGTGCAAATACAATTCTTACTGCTGTCAAAACATGTAATATTAAATATATATTCCCTTTATCATACTTTTCTGGTACTATACCTAACAAAATATTTCTGTCTTATAACCTATATGCTGCTTTAACATTTTTTCTAACCATGTTTGTATTTTTGTCCATTTTTTTTTGCTTTTTCACATGTCCACCACATGTGGTAATATATGCCCGATACCTGATTACATTTCCAACACTTGGCAGACATGTTTTTAATCTCGCCGGTGGTAAGTGCCACCTATAGAACAATTTATACAGGTTTTCCTTATAAGAGGTTGCCATTGTTAACTTACAATTTCTTTCCCAAAGTTTTTGCTATTTGTCTAATTCTATAGTGTATCCAAAATTTGTTGCCCATATTATCACTGTCTCTTTTACCTGTTCATCTTCCATTTTTAAGTTTAATAAGAAGTTGTATATTTTCTTTATTAACTTTTCATCTACCGCTAATATTATTGAATCAAATGTTGTTTGCTCTTTAAAAAAGCCAAAGGAAGCTTCTTCAATGGGGCAACAATTATCTGCCATATTGATATTATAAGCTTGCAAAAGAATGCTATTAAAATCAATGAAAAACAATCAATGGCTTACTTTTGTTTAGTTCCAGAAACATGCACACTACAAAACCTTTAATTTTAATTCAGCCACACATCACATGTACAGGATATAACTCTATGTAAAAAACATCTCAATTACTAAGTTATTTAACCAAACAGAATTGCTTGTTCAGAAACTTGTTCTAAAATCAGACAGATGCTGAAGATAAACACTATTAACAGAAACACCACTCAGATGATCATTGGGGGGGGGGGTCTGAATCATACATAACCTAATCCTGCGTAGCTTTTTCTCAGGTAATATCATACTACTTAATTAGAGCATACAAAACTTTTGCTAGACCAATACTTGAATACAGCTCATCGGTCTGGAACCCACATTATGTATCTGATATTAATACAGTGGAGAAAGTCCAGAAATATTTCACAAGAAGAGTTCTCCACTCCTCTACTCGTTGGAGAACACCTTATACCACCAGACTTGAAATTCTAGACCTAGACAACCTAGAATTACACTGCCTTCGGTCTGATCTAAGTATAGTACATAAAATTATACATTGTAATGTCCTACCTGTCAATGAATACTTCAGCTTCAACCATAACAATACAAGAGAACACCATAGATACAAACTCAAGGTAAACCTCACCAAACTTGATTGCAGGAAATACGACCTCAGTAACAGAGTGGTCAATGTCTGGAATACTCTACCTG